TGAGTCCTTCATGGAGACCAGATGAGTTTGGCGGAAATCAATCCCGTGGCGGTGGGGTGTGTGTCTGATTCCAGAAGCCTCAGCCGCAGGTTGTGCAGCCCAGGGAGAGTCCCTCTGCTGTCTAGTCCAAACTCCTCCCCACCCCAGTGCTTCCCAGACACAGACCAGCAGACGGGGAGAGGCGGGAACCTCTGCTGACCCGGGGAGTGGACAGAGGAAGGTGGATGGGGCAACGTCCAGCACAGGGCAGGATTCTGATAAAAGAAAGTTTCATACATTGAGATGTAGGGAAGTCATTACACATATACTAGAGTTAACTTGAATTTTATGCTAACTAAAGTAGCCTGTTTGTGGCCTATCAAACATATATTGTACATCTGCTTTAATTATTAAAGAAAAGGGCACATTGAATGCCCATGTTAAAAACAAAGATTAAAAGCCCCTCTTCCTGGGGCACCAGTGCTGGTCCTCCTTTGATAAGACTCCCTTCCCAGGTGCCAAGACCGTGCTGACTTACCGTGTTTGTGCTGATGTGGGTGTTTTTTCAAAACCTTGAAGAAGTGTAATCTTGACTTGTTTAATGTTCTTTGTTCTGACAAGATATAAAACTGTACTGAACACCCTGCTTCTCCAGAGCAGTTTCTCCGAGTCGTCTGGGAAGCAAGCTTCCAGGCTAGTCCTCAGTTCAGCTAAAATAAAATTCTTTTCTGTTCTGATTATTGATTGTTTAGTGATTATTTTCATCCACAATTCTTATGCTGTCATTCCTGTCCCCAAACACTTCATCAGGTGGCCATCACCAACACCCAGGCTGGGGACATTGCCCAGAGAAGTTCCACTCACTGGTGACGACCCTCCGCAGACTGTCCACCGCTGCTCCCTGCCCAGGGCAGAGAGCACACCTGGCAGGCCAGCGTGGAGAGGGCTCCAAGCTAACAGTCCACCGCAGAGAATGGCATTCTATCCACGTGCTCTCAGAAATATGCCCAGCTCCCTGACCAGGCTGCCAGTGCCAGCAGGTCAGCACGTGCTCCGCATTGTCGGCAAGCCGGGTGTGAGTTCCCGGGTCACAGCAAAGAAGGGGACTGAGCTGGTGAAGCGCCTCCTAGCCATATCAGCCCCAGTGAGGATGGCCTGACCAGGGAAAGTGAGGGTCCTCGTCCAGTGGGGCAGAGCACCCCTCGGCCTGGGCTGGGCTGGGCGGCCCTGCCCTTGCCTCCTGGGTGGGCATGACTGTGTGGGCTTTCCCGTCCCATCAATCCCCCTCTGCCAATGCTCTTCTTTTTGATAAGTTCACATCTTCATCAGCTCATCAGCCCTGTGGCCCTGAGTGGCCACCTGAATCTTTGTGTGAGCTGTGGTGGTCTCCGTTCCATCTCTCAGCACTGGATGTATGACCCCACTCACAGGGAACAAGCAGGCACCTCTACTTCCAAGCTCTCGGAGGACAGATGTCAGCACGCCGCCCAGGCACTGTCAGGCTCTGGCAGAGACGTGAGTCCCCCTCGCCTGGCACGGGTAGCTCCAACTGCTTTCACAACACTGTCACTGACCTGGCCGCCTGGGGGTAGCCCAGCATGATGAAGGCTCTTCATGCTGCCCTTTCAGCAGCTGTAGCTTACGTCCCACAATCTCAACACATTCAGCAGAAAGAAAGCTTCTCTTCAATGGTCTAGCTAGTGTTACCAGATCTAGCAATGATTTGGTACACACTTATCCTAAAATATTAATCCTTGTCAATCTGAAATTCCAGTGTAACTAAGCATCCTGTATTTTGTCTGGTAACCTCACTCCAGCACAGGGCCTAGGACTGAATCTGAGAAATGGGGGTCACATACTATCCCAGACCCATTGCTGTGGTCAGGAGGATGGGTGAGGCCAACAGGCAGGCCAGCGTCACCAGCCTGTCTCTGGAAAGTGGGCAACATGTCAGCCCTCCTAGTATGCAGGCCCTGATGGGGAGTTAATAAAATGGCCACATTTAGGCTAACAGATTGCTTATTCTTATGCTTGTCCTTAAAGCGGTCAACTGACCTGACTGGCCAGTTGCTACTCACAGCTCCAGGACTGTTGTTAAAATAAAACTATTAATTTTACTGTTTCTGCTTTATTCCAGTAATCGAAAGTAATAATCATACTTGGTTTCTGAGTTGTTCTCCAGGGAGAAGGTCACAGAACTGTAACCTTACAAGATAAGCTAAGTACCAAGAAGACCACGCCTTGGGCGCTTACGAGATAGAGAGACCAAAAAGGGGACAACTGCTAGCCTCTACAGAATTGGTCACCTGAGGCATCATGACGCCACTCTAAGTCTTATGATGAGCAAATGATTCTGTTGATTGTTTATTATTTGAGCTATGGCTATATAATCACCCTGCCCTATCCCTAGGAGGGTTCACAGTTGTGAAGGCACTAGCGTGCTGTGAGACCCCTCTGCACAGCAAAGTAATAAAGCTGCCTCTTTTCTTCTAAGCTCAAAGACCCTGTCTCTGAGTTTCAATTTGGCTCGTCTGGGAGCGAGGCCGATCTTTCAGCAACACTGACAGTGGGAGATGGGGTCCTTCCCCAATACCTAGGATGCTGACTCTACAAGAGGAATGAACTGTGCACCAGCAAAAACAGCACCTGTCCACACAGTGACCAGAAATAGCCCAGACAATGCTGAAAAATCTCATACTCCAGGGTGGTTGGATGGCACACAAGTTTCCAGAGCACTTTCACACCACCCCTTCCCTGCCGGCCATACCAGGGCTGGATTGGCAGAGCAGGCATTATGAGCACTTCCTGTTCTACTTTGCTAGGGAGGCCACGATGAAGTTCCACAGACCGGGGGCCTTAAGTAACACATGCCCATTTTCTGACTGTAATTCTGGAGGCTGGAAGGGCAAGATCAGGGTGTCAGCAGGCTTGGTCCCTCCGGAGGCCTCTCTCCTTGGCTTGCAGGTGGCCTTCCTCTCGCTGTCCTCACATGGTCTTTCCTCTGTGTCTAAACCTCCTCTGGGACACCAGTCTAACTGGCGAACAGCCCACCTATAGCACCTCATTTTAACCTAATTGCCTCTTTAAAGAACCTATCTCCAAAGCAAATACAGCTACATTCTGAGGTCCTGGGTTTAAGGCACCAACATACGAATTTGGGGGGAAAGAACTCAGACCAGCACACCTTCCCCTCTCCCCCACCTCCCCAGATAAGACACAGGACAGTGAGGGTGGTGACGGCGTGTCCCCAGGCTCAGGGTGGATCTGGTGGTGGAACTCAGGGCGGAGCCTCATCCAACTCCACGCAGTGGCAGCCCCGGCTGAGCCTGCTAAACCCCACTGACCTTCACCCCCAGTGTGGCCGTGTTCACGTGTGCGCCCGCCGGCCCGCTGCCGGCCAGCAAGCCCACCTTCCTGGTCCCTGCACTGAGCACTGGGCCAGGCAATCAGGCAGAGGATGTTCTCGAAATAAGCATTCTTTGAAAGGCAGGAAACAGAGACAGAAAAAAAAATTCCTGAAGAGTTTTAGGAGATTTAGCTAAAAGGAGAGGAGCTCAGGAGGGGCACAGGCTCCTGATCTGAAGTGATAAAAGACTCTTTAGAACAGCAAAAGTGATGAGGCCTGTGGATGTGTAAATGAGCCCGGGGAAGAACTAATCAGGAGGGTAAATTACAAAACGGAAAAAGACTGTGAAACAAGTGGGGAGAATGGTATTTCAACCGCCTTTAGTTCATAAGAAATTCATGAGCAACGCGTGTGATTTTGTTGGTTTTGGTGGTGGGAAAGAATTGTAAATATGTATAATATGTAAATACCTTTGATAATAAAAGCCCATGAAAATAAACGAGCCTGTCTACAGAAAAGCTGTGAGCTGTATGAGATGCTAATATAACTGCCGTCACTCTAAGAAATTACCATAATGCTTACAGGGCTTCCAAAGTTCCAGCGCTTTGTAAAGAAATGCATGAACACCAACCAGAAAGCTAGCGAGCGCGCGCACACGCACAGGCACGGCTCTATTTTCCTCTTATTTCCTTCCTCCTTCCCTCCCTCCCTTTAATTTTCTCTAATTTGTTTAAAATGTGAGGTAAGTTGTCTTAGTGAAAACAGGTATTGGAGTTGCACCTCTGCGGGTTCGAACACGGCTTCCCGCCCCCACGGACGAGCTGTGCGATGCTGGGCACGCCATCCAGGCGCCCCGGGACTCGCTCTCCCCGTCGTGCCGTGGGGATGCGGACGCTTTCCCCTCGCCGCATTTGGGGAGGGGGAGGGGGCCCCACAGTCAGGACCCGTGTTTCCCTCCCGGCGCGAGCCGGCCAGCGGCCGCCGGAGGAGCGAGGGCCTCCCGGGGGGCGGGGCGGCGGCGGGAGGAGGGGCCGCGGCGTGAATCGGAGCCACC